GGGCCGTCTGGTCGGTCTCGCTGCTCCTGACCCTGCCCATGATGCTGATGGTCACCCTGACTGAGGGGAGCAAGGCGGAGGGCAAGGTGAAGAGGATCTGCGCGCCCACCTGGAGCGTGGACGCCTACCGGACCTACCTGACGGTGCTCTTCAGCACCAGCATCATGGCCCCGGGCATCATCATCGGCTTCCTCTACACGCGCCTGGCTAGGACCTACCTGGAGTCCCAGAGGAACCCCCCCCACAAGGAGAAGAGCAAGAGGTCCCCCCGGCAGAAGGTCCTCATCATGATTTTCAGCATCGTGCTGGTCTTCTGGGCCTGCTTCCTGCCGTTTTGGATCTGGCAGCTGGTGCGACTCTACAGCAGCTCCCTACAGCTCACCACCCAAACCCAAAAGTGCATTAACTACCTGGTGACCTGCCTGACCTACAGCAACAGCTGCATCAACCCCTTCCTCTACACCCTGCTCACCAAAAACTACCGGGAGTACCTGCGCAACAGGCACCGCAACTTCTACAGGTTCACGTCCTCCTTCCGCAAGAGGGGCTCCAACCTGCAGTGCTCCTGGGGACGGTCCATGTCCTCCAGTAACCAGTATGACTACAGCTCTGAGGCCGTGGGCATGGCCACGCTGAAGGACAAGTGAGGAAGAGGAGGCGCTCCAGAGGCACCAGGACCAGCAGAGCATCTGGCCAAGGTAGGGCTTTGGGACCCCTTAGCCCTGAAGGGTCCTAAAAATTCATTTCTGGTGGTCACTCTAGATAGGGACAAGAAGTGGCATGAACTCAAGTACTATGAGATGCATCCGAATTTCCGTCTGGCTTAGTGCTTTTGGGGTGTTCCTGCTGGGAGCCAGCAGCCGTTCATGACAAACCCTTTGGGGTTTTGGGTGCCGAAGATGAGGTGGAGACTTGTGCAGTTCTGCCACAAACTCTTCTCACGCTTTGCTGAGTTTTCCCGGCTCCAGCTCTGCACCATTTCTCCTGTGTGGTTTCTCAGTGCTGTCTTCAGGCTACAAGCCAGGGCAGATCTGCAGAAGGCTGAAATTGCCCTGGTGTTGCTTGGTTTTGCTGCACGCCCTGGGTTTGCCCTGTGTATTACTGTTCTCTGTTTCCAGAGTGTGTAAAGAGACCTTTAAGACCCTTTTCCTATTTCCTGTGACATTACAGTGCACTACAGCTTCATCAAGCTTAAAGTCTCTACTCTAAAATTCATTGCAGCAGCACTTTGAACTCCAAGCACTCAAAAACCACAAGGTAAGCTGTCAAAATCCACAGGATTATCTAAAAAAAGTTAGTAATTGTTTAAGGTTTCTACCGAAGGTGATCTAAATTTTCCACTGATTTTTTTTTTTTTTTTTTTTTCCTTAAGTTGGTTCGTTTCTCAACAGACAACAGGGCTTGAAAACCCAAAAATTTGCCTTGGAAAGAAAGAAATATGTCTTGTAATCGTGTCACGGAAAGACCTGAGGCTCTAAGAAAAATTACTGAATCCTGTATTGTGATACTCATCATAAAAGGGAAAAAACTATTCATGACATTTCATCAAAAGTATTTTTCCTCAGTGTATTCTGCTCATTTTCTCCCCACTTAGCATCTTGTAGTAAGCCTTCACCACAGGTACTGCAGACGCCTGTAAGCACCTAAACAATTGTAAAACCTCAGTTTTTAAAATAAATGCTGATTAAAAAGTGCACTATCATCAGGCTTCCCCTTGCATGGTCTCTTCACCTGGCTCAGGGGGTGTATTTACCAAGGGAGAGGCTCTGTTCGGGGGGATGGAGCTGTGTTCAATATTCCTCTTTCCTGATCTGGGACGGGTGTTGGGGATGAGTAAAGCACAGTATGAGTTGCATAAACTATTGAAAGCAGCTAGTGATGCTCAGGGACATCTGAAACAGCAGGCAGCTGCTTGAGGAGCAGTCATTTCCACTTCCTCACAGCATGCTCTGACCCCATCCATCTGAGGGGAGCCACCCTCCAGCCCAGCAGCTTTACTGGGTTCCTTTAAGGTACCAAATTTGGGGTACGCCTGTGCTAAAGCAGAGACACAACGCGCTGACACCACAGCCAGGGACTGGGAGCAGAGGACCCAGCACAGCAACATGCTGGGTCTTAGGCACTCAACTAACAGCAGAGAAACAAACCCTTCAGGGCATGTGCTGGCTGAAGACCAGAGGAGCATGTTCCTGTGCCAGGAGTCTGGAATTATTCTTACAGATGCAGTTGTTGGGGTGCTTTTGGGGGAGAGAGGAATAAGTAACTCACCTCAGAATTGCTTGTATTGCTTTAAACCACAGGACTGTCTAAGAAACACGAGTGACCACTTTGTTGTGTTCCAGTATTGTGTAGACTACTGGGCTGGGTTGTATAAATCGACCTAATGGTGCCCATTCCCTTCGGAATCACACACAGGTCCCATTGGGAATTGGCAGGGAGAGCAGCCTTCTGCAGTTTTTAGGAACACCTTTTCAGGAACATTTCATTTTTTAGTTATTCATTCTGAAGTCATTGTTACTTTTCCTTTGCTTCCCATGGAAGGAGTCATGCCTAGAAAAAAAAGGATGAAAATGCAGAGCAGATGAGATCTACACTTGTAACCTACTGTGGGGATAAGCAAACAGAAATGTTTCATTCAGGGCACGCTTCCCAGGATGTCCTATCAGTCCCCAGAAGGGATCCTGCTGCTCTGCTCGGCGTCACAGACAGCTTGCAGAGGATGTGCTTTCGGTGTGCCATCATCAGAGCACGACACATCAAAAGGCTGATGGAGAAGCGTCCAGAGGAACGGTGCAATATTGGATATTTGTCACCCATAGGGTTTTTCAGCCAATATGTGCTCCAGCTCAGTCCCATCCCAGCACTGCTCCTCTCTCCCATCAGGCTCTGATAAACCCATAGGAGGTCACTAACAAGAGAACCAGCTTGCTGCAGCCACAAAGCACGTCCTTG